CAGAAGATCACATTTATGTAGTGAATGAATGCCTGTGTAATTTAAACATGGAACTCACCATGAAAAACTATTACTTCACTACAAGAATTCAGCATCAAATAATGTAGGAAAAAAAAATCAATGTTCTCCTCAAACTTCCCAAAGTATAGACACTTTTAGTGTTGTAGTGATGCAAATGAATACTTCATGTAGTTTGACTGCTCTGGCAAAGATTACATTAAACCTTGAGATCAGCCAAATATTTTCCTGTAATGACTTACCCCCTCTTTCCACCACAGACATCACCTCTGAAATCTGAAGTGTTATAAATTTTGTGAGTGCCTTCAGTATGCAACTCACAATGCTTAGTGTTTCTGAGTTAAAATCTGTCAAAGTATTGAAGAAAAATGTCACAAAGAAGACCCTGTTTGTCTTACAATATTTTTACCTATAGGAATTGCCAATATTTTCATTGTCTTGAAATATCCCCATTTTCATGCCCTTCATGTTCCTTCAATTCCATGCTAGCTCTTTGACTATTCTACTGTTGCTCTAATAAGCATAATAATAATTTTCAATTAATGAGTGGATGAACCCACATTTTCTCCCATTCTAGGTAGCACAGCTGTGCTTCACAAGACAACTGGATGAACTGAGCAGCTTGGGAAATCTCTGTATGGAAGCTTTGCTTTACTTTCCCCACTGGCACAGATTTACAAGAAGATACACTTACATACACACTTATCCTTTTGCACGTATTAGATCTCCTAAGGTATAAATTGATATTATTCTTGATAAAAGCGAGTGATAACTAATTAAGCCATTGGCCAGAGCAGTTTAGCATTTGAGAAAAACCATAGAGCATCCTTGTGTGAAATCACATTGGAATTGACTTGGATGTAGAGGAGGATAGAGCTCCATCTGGGGAATAAAAGGAGTCATAAGAAATTCACACAGCGAGGAAACGAGCTAAGTGAAAAATGCTAGGTTTAAAAACTATTTCAGGATGAAAGATGGTATTTACATTGAACTATAAACTGAAATGTAAACTACCATCCTCAGAAATTACAGGGAGGGTGCATATGTTTATGAACAGTGATCCATTTCAGGGGAGCTCTATCTGATAATGCTGTCATGTACAGATTTGGCATAATTAAATATTAAATTCAGTCAATTCCAGAATGCTGGAGGGGAAAAGCCTTAAGACCTCAACTATAAAAATAAAATAATGTAGTTAACTATTGTACATAGTTTTTTGTCTCCATTTAATCTTCAGTATTGACCAGAGGTGATGGCATCCACAGACCTGAAGGAACTTTAAAAAACAAACTTATTGCCAAGTCCTATGCAATTAATTACACTTTATCATTGTAATACATAAATTTAATTTAACACATGGAGGTTAGGGACTCCGTAACTTACATCATCTTAGCTTTTACAAAAATAATAAGGACTTTTTTTTTTAATGAACATGGACTATCACAGTAAAAACTTGTACTCTGTTGGGAATAAGTGGCTTGGGAAGCATCCATCACGTTTATACCTTCCCTGCTGATGTATGCATGACAGTGTCGAGGCTGTCGAGTTGTTCCGATGAGATGTGAGGAAGGCAAGGTTGCTGGCTGACTCATTGTTTTGACTGGGATACAACAGCTTTCCTGAGGACAGTGCCTCAAATAAGCTGTTTATAATGTCAACCACCCATTAATTCAGAAAACTATGAAAAAACCATACTCTTAGCACAGTTGTACTCTTAAATGCATCAGCACAAGGGAGAGGAAAGAGAGAGATCCTTCTCAGTGTTTTCTACACAAACTCCATGCTTGCTCCAGAAGGAAAATCAGAATTATTCCTACCTTCATAGTGAGTGTCCTCTTCCTTTTCATCATTTACTTACCTGACTTCCCCTGTTTAATTTCTGTGCTTCAGCTGATCTTTACAAGCATCATCTCTAAAACTTTTAACAACATACACGAGCGCACAACCATTGCAAGAGCGGTGATTCAAAAAGAATGTGAAATCAACAGCGAGTGCAAATTAATGAAGCACTTTATCAATTTGTCCACTAAAGAGATTTTCTCAGCTCAAACCCCAAGGCATGAAATTCAAGTTTGACACTGCCACAGTTGGATTAAATTTTTCAGATGGTTGGCTTGAAGAGGGATTTGATCTATACAGTCAGACAGACTGTAAGTCTGTAGTTAATTGAGCAAGTGCAAGAGAAGAGAGTGCCTTATTCTCTCACAAATGTTTTACAAACCTAATACAAAGCAAAAATTTTCAGAAATGCAAGGGTCCAACATTTCCACAGAAATTTTCAGGTTTTTTTCAAATAACTGATATGAAAAAATCAAATTCTTAGAAAGAAGTGCATAGAAACTGACGTGAAATATTTTTTTCTAAAAAGGATAAGTGAAGAAGGAAAAAATTTCATATAATTTTAAAAATACTGACATAAGTCCTTTAAAATACTTCAAAGAAATATATTCCACTTTAAAACTGATACTTCAAGGCATAAATGAATGCTGTGTACTATAGTGTAATAATCAATACTTGACTCCTGGTCAGTAAGAGGATTTTTTGCTAGGGAACAGGCATGAGGAGCAGGCTCTGTCCTCTGCACTGTCTCCCCTTTTGAAAATGGGTGTTGTTGTGGGGACAATTTGACAGCACAGAAGAAAAAATTGTGGACATGGACACAGAGAAACAAATCATACTTTAAATGAAAAACAGCTCCTAATTTCTCCCCCCACTGTTTTGAAAGAATGAGGGAGATGGAAGGGAGAGAGGAAGGTTAAGGGGATATTCCTCTTTGCCTTCACGTTTATAGACAATTCATACTCCTAGTCCATCTAGAGAATCCTGTGCAGTGAGTTGATAAATATCTATGACTAGTTAGGTCAGTGTGCACGGCAGCAATCTCTGCAGCAGATCTCAACATGCTTAAAACCTTCAGAAGGAACATTATCTTCAGGAGGAACATTATCCTCGAGCAAATTCTTTACAAACCAGAATTGAAAAAGCACACACAGGTTTGGCTACGGCGCAAACTGCTTTGAAAAAGAATCCCACTGAAAACATTTCCTCCATGAAGTCAATGATAAATGACATGAAAGACATTTCCTGCTCTCTCGTGCTTGCACAGAAACTCAATTACATGCCCTGGGAAGTTCTCCCCACAACATGGTGAAACGAGAGGATGATTAGAAGAGGAAAATCACAAACTGCACATAAACACACGAGAAACACCCTCATGCAGGGACACGGCAGCAAGGGGAAGGAGCACAGCCAGGTTCCACAAAGCACAGGAGTGAGGTGTGGGAGTGACTGTGGGAAACTTTTCTATGGGCAGGAGAGGTTGGTTCTCACCGTTCTGAACAAAATGGCTGAGCTAAGAGCATCTGACTGGTTATGCCCAAATACCCTCCTCCTCATCCTAGAGGTGCACGGGTGGCAATGGGAGGAAAGCCCCAGAGCAGCATGGGAATGAAATAAAGAGTTGGTTAGTATTTAAAGCACATAAAGTACAAACAGTAGAACAAAGCGTTTCAATTCCTTATGCAGTACTCTGAGCTACCTTGAGGTGCAGCTTTCTCTGCTCCCTTGTAGGCTTTGTCAACTTTCAAAATGCCCCTTTGCAAAGGGGAAGTGCAATCAGAGCCTCCTCCCACCCCCTCTCTTCCCTATTGCCCTTCCCTGTGGGGTCTTTGCAAGAATTTCTGTAAATGTCTAAATTTTATTTCATTTTTACATGTTATATTTTCAATTTCATCTGTGAATGCTACACTGCCTTTATTTGCAAGCATGTGCTAAAGTTACATGCTAGAAATGGTTTCAGCTCTCTGTAGACTTCAGAGTAGAAACAACAGATATTCTAACATTTGCACCAAATTAAGATTAGGAAATCCATTTAATTTTCAGTATTAACAATTTCACTTTCCTGAAAAAGGAGAGTGAACACCAACATCTTCCAAAAGCACTGCAGAAAACTCAAGCCAGTCAACATACAGTGGAGGAAGGTATTAAATTAAGATGCAAAAGGAAGTTCCCTTGAAAATTAGAGTTTTTCTGTTTGATTGTATATACTCCTTCTTGTTTTCTGATGCAGATCACGAAAGGAGATTTTTCAAGATCTATTTTTGCAGGGTGAATAAGTAATTGACTTTTGCCATTTTCCTCTTGTACCTTACTCATTATTTCTGTGTATCACTAAGCTGGCACTTAAAGGTCTAGAGAGATATGCTTCCCTTCACATCCCACCAATTTCTACATGAATCAGAGGGCAAAAAGAAGCATTCCTTCACTCCATCGAGGCAGTGATTAATGATGGCTAATATTTTAATTAAACTGCAGTGGATGAGATTACAACATGGGATGTGCAATTATGCTGGCAATTTCTGTGCTACCCAAGGGATGGTTAATCTCTCTAATAGTTATCAAGCACACGGCTGTGCTTTGTAAATGCCACAGGAGGCTCCTCACTGCTTTGGAGATGGTAAATTGATTTTCCTTCAGTTCATGGCCCATTGAGTTTGTGAGGGAGCAGTCTGTGCTCATTTGGCACCGAGGCTGGGATTTCCTCGTGGGAAATGAAGGGAACTGCTTGTATGCAATCCATAGATCAGAAAGCTGATCCTGGAGCATGATTTCCTGCTACTGAAGACAAGAAACAGTCCTGGACACTCCACACACTCAAGCAATAAACTTGAGCTACTAAAATCTGAATATAGTCATGCAGGATTTGAGTCTCACATTTTAGGAGAGTAAAGTTTTTGTTCCTTTTCAATGCACCTCCTCCTCTCCACCCACCTAACAACAGCTTGGTACCAGGAACTGTTCATTCAGGAGTCTGCACAAAGCCAACACAGCAGCAGCACCCAATTCTGCTTTATAACTGCATTATGGAATGCTACTTTTGTTCCAAGGCACTACAAGCATGTCAGGGAAAACTACTTATAAGAAAAAATCATCAGCCTTCATAGTAAAAATTACTTTATAAACAAAAAAGAGAGAGACATTACCTGGTCAGGGGAGGGCTTGTGGTTGGTTTGGTTGGAATGGGATGAGGATTTGAGGTGGTCATCCTCATAGTTGTCAGCCATCAGCTTCATACGGTTCTGAGTCTTTTAAAAAAAGCAAGAAAAAAGAATCTCAGTCTACCTTCTAATGTTATCAGGGGGACTAAAGGGAACAGGGCATTTATACAAATCCATATCCAAAATCCATACATGGGAAAAAACAAGACACATGCCTAGACATCAGTTGGTAGTACCACAGGGAATTGGTAACAAATGTGGAGACACATTCCAGCCTGTTCTCATTAAGGATAAATTAGTTGTGCAATTAGGTGGATCATCTGACTTGTACCTACTAAAACTTGTGCTGTACAAGAAATTAATTTCTTCTTAGACATTCTTGGGATTATGGTTCAGACACCAACTTGGAGAATAATTCAATGAAAACATGAGTTAGGTGTCCCTAAGTCAATTAAAAAAACCCCAAAGAAGCCCTCAGAAAGCAGTCAGTTTTAAAAAACCAAAAAGTAAACAAGCTGAAAATAGGGTATTACTTAAGAAGTCCATCCAGTATGACATAAAAATCAGTTTTTGATTGATATATCAAAGAACAGAAAAATTCTGAGACTGGTCAAGAAAATGTTAATTATACAAAAATCATCCTGTGAGGAAATTAAGAAGTTAATAAATAGATATTGGGGAAGAAAAAGTGTCCTAATGAAGGCTTATAAAATTAAAACCTGGACACAGTCAAGTAAAGAATTAGCAAAGTATGCAACAAGTTTTTTTCTTCAACTTCTTAGGAAATTTCAAGTTCCAGAAGAGATAGGATTTTGAAAAACACTGTAGAAAATAAACTGCGTAAGAATAAATGGAACTCAACAACACCATTCTAGGTAAGCAATCACAAAGAACATTAAAATACATTACCTGGCTGTGTCTGCAAAGGAGAATATTAGTTAGACAAAACCCTTTTAACAAACTGCCCTGAAATGAGGCCCCCAAACACCTACAAAGACAAACAGATAAGGAAAGAAATGCACCTGGAAGAGTGTCCCAGCTCCCAGCAGGGCTCACAAAGGCCATTCAGGCAGCAGTGATACCCTGTGGGCAGCCAAAGGGTGGGGTGAGCATCTTGCAAAGCCAAGTGCTGCCTCCCCTGGCATTGTCTGGGTGCCAGGGTCCTTGGGAACTCACACATGGAGCAGCCCCAGAACTGACTGATGGCATTTCTCCTCCCACCTCAGAAGGCACAAAGAGCCCCACTTTGAGCTTTGGGAAATTTTGTATTCTAAGGAAATCAAAAGGCTACCCTGACATACATTGGATATGATACAGAGCAAATTATCTACAGCCAGACATAAAAAATCATCAGACATGATGATTTTAAAAATTAAATGCCTTAAATGAAAGCTCAAAGCTGATAGAAATGCAGGCTGTGGATTCAATCCCTTCATAATTCCATGGTTTCTCACTGAAAACTCACTGAAAAGTTTAATGAGCATCTTGAAGCTGGAGAATGCAGATTCTACTTGTCTCTATTCAGTTCATGAGAGAGAAGGTCCAGGGTTGGAATCTGGATTTGATTTTATTTTGGAATAATTTAACAAAACCTAATAGTAAATTGAGCTTAAGCAATAAGCAATTTCATTGTGCAAAATTTTTATATTGTTTGCTCTGCTTTGTCAAGCAAGTTCTGAATTCCAAGTCTGACTCATCATTCATAAATCACTACTTGAAATATGCTACATTAATCCTTAAGCAACCAGTTTATAGTAAAGGCACTTTCTTAATATTTATTATTTTATTATATTTAAGGTTGTCTCTTCAACAATTTCTTCTTTGCAATGAGAACAATTGATTTTAAACCATTTCACATTTTCTTGGAAATTGATTGTTTTGATAATAAATAATAAACTTTTACATGACTTTCAGTGTGTGTGTGTGAAGAAAAGCTATTGAAACCCAGATGTTTAGCAGAATGCTAGTACAGCACATTAACTCTCCTGAGACAAAATGTAGCTCTTCTTTATATTACATGAAAAAAAAAACCCAAAAAACTAAACAAACCAAACAAACTATGTTAGCTGGTACAGGTAGAGAAGGATATAAACATTGCAAAGAATCACAGACTGGGTCAGGCTGGAAGGGACCACAGTGGTCATCTGCTCCCACCTCCCTGCTCAAGCAGGGCCATCCCAGAGCACATGGCACAGGATTGCCTCCAGAGGGTTCTGGAATATCCCCACGGAGGGAGACTCCACACCCTCCCTGGACAATCTGTTCCAGTGCTTGGTGACCAGCACAGAAAAGTTCTTCCTCAGAAGGTGGAGGTGGAACTTCTGTGCATCAGTTTCTGCCCATGGCTCTTGTCCTATTGCCTGGCACCACCAGGAAGAGCTTGGTCCATCCTCTGACCCCTCCCTGCAGACACTGACAGACATTGTTAAGGTCACCTGTCATTTGTCTCTTCTTGAGGCTGAGCAGGCCCAGCTCCCTCAGCCTGTCCTTGCAAGAGAGATGCTCCAGTCCTTTCATTATCTTTGCCACTCTCCACTGGACCCACTCCAGGAGCTCTGTGTCCCTCTTGTCCTGAGGAGCCCAGAACTGGACACAGCACTCCAGGTGTGGCCCTGCTAGAGGAGCAGGATCACCCCCAGGCTGCTGGCAGTGTTCTTCCTGATGTACCCCAGGATACCATTGGCCTTCCTGGCTTCCAGGACACACTGCTGGCTCATGGACAACTTGCTGTCCACCAGGATCCCCAGGGCCTTCTACTAAAAGCTGCTTTCCAGCAGGTTGGCCCCACACCTTATCTCTTATCTATGCCCCTGTCCCACTTCAAATCTAGTTTAAAGCCCTCTGAGTGAGCTGTGCTGAGTCCTGAGCTAAGATCCCTTTCCCTTCTGATACAGGTGGAGCCCATTTGCTGCCAGCAAGCTCAGTGTTGTATAAATTCACCCACGATCAAAAACCACAAAATGCTGCTGTTTACACCAGTCTCAAAGCCAGGTGTGCATCTGCATCACTTTCCTGTTTCTTGCTCCATCATTCCCTGCAACTGGCAGCACAGAAGAGGACACCACGTGTGCTCCAGATCCCTTGGCCAGTTTTCCCAAGGCTCTGAGGCCCCTCCTCATTGTCCTCATCCTTTTTGCTGGGACTTTGTTGCTCCCACTACTCAGAAAACTGTAAGAGGGTAACAATCAGTTGTGGTATTTTCTGAGACCCCCATCAAAGGGAGTAAAGACAAATCTGACTCCATTTTCTCAGAAGGCTAATTCATTATTTTATGTTACTATATTATACTAAAGAATGCTATACTAAACTATACTAAAGAATACAGAAAGGATACAGACAGAAGGCTAAAAGATAATAATGAAAAACTCGTGACTCTCTCCAGAGTCCCAACAAAGCTGGGCAGTGATTCGTCATTAAGTCAAAACAATTCACATTAAACCAATGAAACAATCACCTGTTGGTAAACAATGTCCAAACCACATTTCAAAGCAGCAAAACACAGGAGAAACAAATCAGATAATTATTGTGTTCATTTTACTCTGAGGCTTCTCAGCTTCTCAGGAGAAAAATCCTGGGCAAAAAGATTTTTCAGAAAATATGACTGTGACAATCAATGGGCTCCAGCAGGCTGGGAAATTTCTTGGTGATGTCCCTTACCCAGGCCTCAGGAAAGCCACACACCTCCCTCTGGCTGGGTCTGGTCAGCAAAAAGCACAGAGTCCCTCAGAGAGAATTCTGAAGTCAAATTGAAGAGGTAGTGTGCTTCTGTCACTTAAATTCAAGTAGAACCTACTATTAATACTGCACCAAGCTGGGAAGTTTCTTGGTGATGTCCCTTACCCAGGCCTCAGGAAAGCCACACACCTCCCTCTGGCTGGGTCTGGTCAGCAAAAAGCACAGAGTCCCTCAGAGAGAATTCTGAAGTCAAATTGAAGAGGTAGTGTGCTTCTGTCACTTAAATTCAAGTAGAACCTACTATTAATACTTGGCAAGCAGGTATTGAGAAGTGGCTGATGGAATTGGGCTGGTGTAGCCTGAAAAAGAGGAGGCTTTTAAAAATTACCTGATAGGAGGAAATAGAGGACATGAAGCCATTGGAGGGGATAGATCAGGAAATGACAGATGCAAAATGGAACACAGAAAATTCTGATTAGAGATCAGGAAAATTCATAATGAGGTACATCAAATATCAGAAGAGGCTGCATGAGACAGTGGCATCTCCTTCCTTGAAGATACTGAAAATGCAGCTGGACAAGGCCTTGAGCAAAGTGCTCTAATTAGTGATGCGATGCTCTCAGCAGGTGGCCAGACACAGAGGTCTGCTCCAACCTAAAATATGCTGCAATTGTTATTATTTGGAATTTTCATCAGATCATTTGAGAGTTTCAAAGCTCAACTTCTCAGAAGAAGAGGGAGATAAGTTCAAAATTCCTCCTACTTGCCAAATATGGTTTAGCTACTTGGCTCCATCAGAGTCCTTTGAACATTTAAACCCAGAACAATCTCTGCAGTGTCCTGATGATGACAAGCCTAAGGGATCAGCTCACAAAGAAGGACATTTTCTATGTTCCTCCTTTAATTCAACCTGACCTCCCATTGCAGCTGTTCATTTTAGTGTGCATGTTTGTGACAAGTCTTGGCAAGAAAATGCCAAAATTAGTATTGTGATTCCATTAAAGGAACTAATCTATGCATATATGTTAGATTAGAATGAAGCAAAAAATCAAAAGATGAAAGAAAAGCAGCTTATTCCTGATAGATACCACTAAGAATTATTTTCCAAAATTTAAAGCCCAAGAAGCATTGCAAATAAAATATATGATAATATTTTACAGTTATTTTTATATAGAAATAGAAAGCTTTTGCTTAAAACTGGACTACTAATGACAAATATTTACTTAGAAATTTTAAAAATAACTGTAAATACGTGATCTGAGTTTCTCTCCTATTGCTCCTCCACAGAAAAAAAGAAATGTCCAAAAGGATGGAAATTTCTAGACCAAATGGCTGTTGTAATGATTTAAAAACAAACCGTTTACTTTTCTGTGGGGAACCACTCCAACATCCTGCAGTCCTGAGCTGGTTTG